AGGAAATTCGTAAAATGGAACAAAACTCACTTAACTAATGTTTCACTTAGCAACATGAATTTTGGCCCCAATTGTAGCCAAAACTCAAAGACTATCTGTGATTTCTGGGCATAATCCTCTATGCCAATACGGCTTAGGTTCCAGAAAAGAAGGGATGACTCATTTCCCTAGAGGGATCTGCTGCGTAACACCAGAACAATGCTTCCCATAATGTTTATTATGTCTTACCCAGGTTCTTTTTAAAGTCTTATGGCTTTTAAAGTCTTGTTTTTTTAACATGGGTTTAGTACAATATTCTTGTGAAGGAGTGTTAGTATTTTTTACTGCTTTATTCTTTTTAAATCTTCAGGAATATGTGCAAGAACACAACAACTATCAACCAGACCATAATGCTTTTAGAGTACAGAATGGGATAACTCGCTGTGGCCAACTCACTGCAGGACAACTCTTCACAAGACAATTCAACAAATACAAATTAAATTAATATCAATGGAACCATGGCCAATAATAATAAAACAAAGACAATCCAGAAATACAAGTTACAATAATTTTGATGAAAACATAGTCACCAACAAGAAAAGTAATTGAAAGATTAATACAACATTGAATTGTCCCACAGCGAGTTTGTCCTAGACCCTTCAGGACTAGTCTTATGCACCTGCATAAAACTATGCCAGCACAAAATTTGTTCCCTATCACCACAACAGTCCTGGATTCTGGCCTTATTTTTCTCACCACTGAATTTCCCCATGAGACAGCACCCAGGAACCACAGAGAAAGGGGCATTCTGTACCAGTCTTAAACTGGCCAATCAGGACCAAACTGATACCATCTCCTAGGGGTCATTTGATAGCAATATTTCCTGAATATATCATGACAGATTGTTTCCACAAAACTGCCATTTTGCTGACTGCTAAAAGATAAATACTTTTTAAAAATTAATCTTTATGCTGTGGTTAGGTGCAATGGAGGAAAGGCCTTAAACGTGATTTGGAATCCATCACAGTTAAAGCATTCACCCAAAGGAAGCAGTGTAGATGAGAAAGCAAATTATTGCTAGATAAAATAACTTGCTCATTGCCTTCATTTTGATCAATATCCCAACCACCTGTTCAGTGGTTTGTTCCTAGGTTACAAATCATTGCAGCAAATCCTAGCAGGCAAAACACATAATTGAACCAATTCACATTTTGGCTCTTATTCCCAATCTAATTTTTCTCCATCCTCCTCCTTTTTGTGTTCTTCGGTTTAGAGACATTTTCCTCAGGAAAAAACAAACTACATAATAAGAAATGGTCAGAAAAAAATATCCAAGTCCTGAACAACTCAATGAAATCAATAAAATAAGATTGAACATATTTGATAGAAACTAATTCTACCTATCCAGAGGATTTCTTGGGGGCATAGTTATTCTATTCGCATTTTAGTGATGGAGCATACATTTTCCTTCTGATGCTAAAAGAATCTCCCTATTACATCCAATTTAGGGCAAAGCTAATAATGAGAGTAACTTAATCTATTGCCTCTCACCAACAATTTAAAACTGGTCATTTGCCAAACATCAATGAGCTTGAGAGCTTATCTGCTTGAGCAACAGCCACAAGCAAAGCAATTTGTGAGATAGCTATCTTTGATGCTGTTCTGATCTATGCAACATAGCATATAAATATATATTTTCCTGATACTTTGTTTACATGCTACAAACTATGTCAGAAAGGAGAGGGGCTAATAAATGTTTGCAAACTTCTTATAAATGTAGTCAATGTTAAGTTATTCTGCTTGTGTAGTTCAATAGGACTGCACAACTGTTCAAGATTTAAAAAGTATATTAGAATGTATGGATGTGTGTGGACATAACTCATCAGGTACACCTTTTCCCGGGATTGCATAGCAGCTGCAGAGAACAGCTCTACTAACCCAGGAAAAGATGCTGCAAAAGACTGCAAATATGTTCTACATTCATACTCATAAACTCTAAAGTGCCCTTTATGAATCAAGTCCAAACCACTGCACAACTACATCGTTTGATTTGGTTTAGGATGCCAGAAATTCTATTATTAAATTATTTTGGAATAAGGCAGCTCCGACGGCACTCCAAATGGCAAGTCCCCCCACCCTTCCCCCCATTTTGCATGTTTTAAACTAGGCCTAAATTTGGGGGGAGGGGCTTAATTTGATTTTATGCTTAGAAAACATGCTGGGTCTTCCTATTGGTGGAGGCCGTATTGTTGGAGAAACACGGTAGTTAGCTCTGCAGACCACAGGTAACTGAATAGGAACTAACTGGGATTCTGTCTTTATATTCAGATGTCCTGACTTGTGATTGGTCTTCAGCCAAGATGGTTCCTGATTGGGACAGGCTGGTGAAGAATTGGTTCTTATTGGTTATTTCTTTGTGTTCTAATTCAACCAAAGATTTAAAATTCTTATGTAATATACTTTCTCCTTCAGCTATGGGAAAATTAGAAAGCAAATTGCTGGGTTTGCAGGAGCTGGGAAGGATGGGAGCTCACCGTCATGTGTTGCTTGGGTCTCCAACCAACATCTTAACCGCTCAACCACAGTGCCAATAATCTAATATACAAGTACAGTAAACATTTAATCAAAAAAGAGCCAAATAGAAAAATCAATGAAGGCTAGAATCACTGGTACTAAATTCCAAATAAAAATATGTTAACTAATATTGCCTGCATGATAGGATCTTGAGATTCAGACTTCCTATACAGTTCATTGTGTAGCGTTGTTAAATAGATTCCTTTCTTCCACTTGATTCTTTTCTTTTTAAAGCATTTATCTTTTAGCTGTATAATAGCAGAAATAAAGCAAAAAAGAAAAAGAAAATTACAAAGCAACTGAACCTATCTTTCTAATACCTCTGAAGTTGAATTATAAAAATCTGATTGCTTTCTATAAAATTTTTAGACAAGATATTTCAGAGAAACATTCTGAGAAATTTTTTTTTTAAAAAAAAAATTTTCTTTCAGGCCTATCATGAAGTCAACTTAATTGGTCTAGGTCTAAGAGATAATTTTGGATGATAAGAAATAAATGGGATTGTCACCTGTAGTAATTCTGAGGATTTATGAGTAAAGTATCTTTTTTTTAATCTAAACTTCATCTTGGCTTGATTAATGGGCTGAGACACTGATAAAAAAATACTTGTCTTGAGACTGAGAAGAAAAATACTGCCTTATGAAACTTGGTAGATTTCTCTGAGAGTCTGATAATAGTTGTCACATAGAATCAGTGGTGGGATTCAAAAAATTTTATTATGGTTCTGTGGGCGTGGCTTGTAGGCATGGCTTGGTGGGCGTGGCAGGGGAAGGATACTACAAAATCCCATTCCCTCCCCACCCCATTAACCTACTTTTCAGCTCTGTTCTCCTGTACAGGACAACAAAAGAAGACCCAGCCAATCAGCTGGGACTCAAGAGGCAGAGAATAGATGAGGGCAGGGCCAGTCAGAGGTGGTATTTGGTATTCTCCAAACTACTCCAAATTTCCACTACCGGTTCTCCAGAACTGGTCAAAACCTGCTGAATACCACCTCTGAATAGAATCCATTGCTTTGAAATTATTACTCACGTGATTTTTAAAAAAACTAGACCTCTGAACCCCATTATTTCATTATATTGTTGGTTCCAGCACTATGTGAAATGAGTAAGAAGCAACAGTTTGCAGGGCTTCGGTAACAGGCAGGAATCCGCGATCATGTGCGGTTTCTGCTTGGGCTTGCTGCTGGAGTGCCCCGAGCCAGCTGGCTTCAGAGCTAAGCCACCCCGTAGAGGTGGTGAAGAGGGGAGAGATCGCCAGCAGGGTCGAGGAGAGCCGCATCTCTTCTCCTCAGCTGGTCAAACTCCCTTTCCCAAAATAATTTGTTATTATTAAACTATAAAGCCAAATGCCTAAAGAAAATTAGCAAAAAAGTAACCATCATATAGGAACATTAAAAATTCTACAAATATTTCATCCATCACAAGCTCCTTTTCCATTAACTTCTGCCATTCTACAGTATTTATTCCTCCTTAGCGCTTTACTACATTGTGGGCAGATTTGTGGTTTAATAATATTGTTCCAACTTATTTTCAAAGGAGGGAGGAGCGAAAGCTGAGCCACTAAAATAAGTCTTTTGAATCTAATAAGTATTTGTCAATCTTTTGTTACTTGTTTCATGTTAAATAGAATAGAATTCTTCATTGGCCAAGTATTTTGGGTTAGGGTTAGGAATTTGTCTTGGTGCAAATATTCTTTGTATACATAAAAGATACATTTGTCAAGAATCATAAGGTACAACACTTATAGTCATAGGGAACAATAATCAAATCAAATCATACTAGGAAACAGTAAATATAAATCATAAGGATACAAGGGACAAAGTTAAAAGTTAAATGAGCTAGAAATGGGAAGAAAGTAGCAAAGACAACAAAGCTGAACCACGGAAACAGCAGCAGTCAAGGTTAAACTGCATGGTCAATAAACTGCATGGTCAATAAAGCATTTCAGGTCTGAAAGCAAAGGAGAAGGGCAAGAGGGCGGAACTGCCTCAAAATATACCCAGCTGTAAAAGCAAATCGGCAAAGTCTCTTACGACTTCTGAGAATATCTGAGATACTTCCAGCAATATTAAGCAGTACAGTATGTGTATATATATTGACCGTTCCACCGTATGATCAGAACCGGAAGAGGATTTTTTTTTTTTAGATTAAAAGCAATCAATATGGGTTGAACGCAGCAGAGTCTCGGAAGCAGAACAAGTTTGGGGACTCCGCCAACGGAATCCCGGCATCCTCTGTAACTAGTTAGAATAATTATTTTATTCATTTAATCCCCGGTATCCGCCAGCCCGTCCCCTCCACCGCAAAACAAAACAAGGCCCAACCACCAGCCTTCAATCTCTTCCCAGCAGGAGATCACACTCCTATCTAATCTAAAAATAAGGGAGGAGTCAGAACGTCAAAGTCTACGCATGCGCTTCCCTGCCATTTCGGTCCCAGCCCGGGGGCCCGGGCGATGAATGAGGCGTGGGCGGGGCTGACGGCCGCACGCGACTGCCGAGCTCGCCGTCACAACGTGAAGGGAGGGGGCCGTGGGGCAGGGGAAAGAAGCGGAGCCGCTGCTTTGCTCGGCGCCGCCGTAACGGCTGGTCGCCGCCGCCGCCGCCGCGTGTGCCCCTTTCTCCTCCATGCACGAGAGCCGGAGCCGTCACAGCTGTTGCCCCGCCATTTCTTTCTTCCGCTCGCCGCCGAGGGACCGTGGTAACCGATTCCGGCGCTCCGTCGGTGGGTGACCGAGCGCCCCCGGCCGCCCTCTCTCAGCATGCCATGGGCAACAGCTGGGCGGCGCAGTGGTGTTGCTGGGTCTTCCCGAGACGGGAAGCGGGACGCCTCCAACGAGGAGGAGGGTAAGCCCGGTGGGACGTCAGGGCTGGGCCGGTTGCCTTCCATGCCGCCTTTCCGGGGCAATTCAGGACAGGCCGGCCTTGTGACGGAAAGGCAGGGAGCCCTTCCCCGCTTTGCTTCGAGCTGCCTTGGAAGAGGGGAATTCAGCCAGAATTCTCGACCTTGTTAACCCGGGAGGGTTGAATAAAGCCTCCGGGGTCACCGGCAGTCTATCTGAACCCGAGTGAACAGCCGGCAGGCGTGCCTGAAGGCGCTGGCCTTCCAGCCATGCCCGGAGGGGACGCGGAGGGGGAGGTTTCCAGAGATATCAGGTTGGCCTCTGCAGCGTAGAGTGAAGTGACCTCAGTCTGGTGGAGCTGCAGTGGGCTGCCGTCCACGTGCGGATCGAAGGTCCCCGCAAGAGACAGGCAGCCACTAGCTCACCCTGGCTGAAAACAGGGGTGATGACGGGTGTCTTTAACGAAACGATAGGATCAGGTGGTATATTGGGGATCTCGACTTGCACGTGGGCTTTCTAATTAGGTCTGGTGGTGTGGAGTGAATAAACGATTTTAGAACAGAACAGAACAGAATTCTTTATTGGCCAAGTGTGATTGGACCCACAAGGAATTTGTCTTTGGTGCATAAGCTCTCAGTGTACATAAAGAAAAAATTAAAAATACATTCATCAAGAATCATAAGATACAGCACTTAGTGATGATCACAGGTTACTAATAAGCAATCAAATCATGCTAGGGAACAAAACAATATCAATTGTAAAGATAGGAACAACACGGTTATAGTAATAAGTTGGAAGAGATAGGTAATAGGAAGGATGAGATGAATAATTAGTAATACAGTCTTATGAAGTAGTTTGACAGTGTTGTGGGAATTATTTGTTTAGCAGAGTGATCGCATTAGGGGAAAAATGGACTCATTTGCGCTATACTTACAGGCCAATTCAGGTATGTGCTTAATTGTGTTCACAGCAAAGTGATAGCCAATAATTTGGCAGCCTTTCCTATTTTCCTGGGATAGGGATGAGGATAGGGATAGAAAAGAAATACAATAGGAATAGAATAGAATAGCATAGCATAGCATAGAATAACTATTGTCACTGAATGTACATAATCAGCAGACATTAAAATGAAATTTCTTTGCATACATCTCTCAAAGGCTGGAGTATTATTTGAGGATAATACTAGGTTGAGAAGAAGGAAGTGAGCAGGTATAAATAGTTTCCTTTTGATGAGCACATTTTATTTATTTCCACATTTTCATAGGCCTCTTATGGATAAAAGGGGCAATAATTCAGCCTATAGCCCTGCAGGCAATTGCTATTAACATTTTTTTTAACCATACAATTTAGTTGTGACTGCATGAGTCATTGAGCAGAGCATGGATTTAGATTGAGGAAGGTCCTGACAGTCCTATTACATATTCAAGCCCACGTTACAGTACCTTCCTAGTTCAAATGTGGCTTCCCATGGCCTCTCCCAGTCCTGGAGGTATCCTATGCCCCACTTCCCACCCTGCAGGGTGCCACACACTCCTCCCCAGGCCCTCAACCCAGTTTAGTCGACTTACCTTTTTTATAGATCATCTTCAGGAAGCAGCCAGTACATTCTATACAGAAGCCGAGGGATAGATCAGCCAGTTTTCCTTGAAGCTGATCTACCACGTAGCCTTCCTAAACAGGAGCCATATGGTGGTATTCTGAAAGTGGGTGCCATTGAATTGTGGCCGCTCCAAAATGGAGCCCTGCTTCTGGAATGATGCCAGGTAGCCACAGTACTTTATAGGGAGCAGATTTGGAAGATCTCTTCTTCTTGAAGGCAATCTCTGTCTATATTATGTTAATCACTATACAGTCTCACTATACAGTATTTCGGTTTACTGTAAGTACATTAAAGGAGAAGAGTACTGGAATATTTATAGTCTTAAGAATACTGGAAAGGGATTGTTGTTGTTGTTATTATTATTTTCAAGTCACTCATTGTAACTGCCAGGATGAGACTGCAGTTTTGTTGGCAATTTTTTGGAAGTAGTTTAGCATTGTCTTCTTTCTAGGGCTGATTGAAAGTGACTGGCCCCAAATCATTAATCTCTATTTTCTAGTCCGATGCTACCAGTTCTCTTAAATATCTCAAAAGATTTCACACAGAACACAGGTGTCAAACTCACCACCTCACCTTGCCATCACATGACATTTTGTGATGCTTTTCCCATTCGCAGAGCTGGGCTGGGCGTGGCCTGTACATGACATGTCTGGCCTGTGGGCCACCATTTTGACAACCCTGATATAGAACATTAAGACCTGTTATCCTTAGTTCCAGGTAACAGAACACTGAAAAATATAGATAAATTGCAGGAAGACAGGTTCTTGAGTGGTAGAAAAAAGACTTGTAAATTTGAAACAATTTAGCAATGGAACAAGTTACACCACAACTTCCTTTCACTAATATAAATGAAGGCATCCACTTGTCAAAAATATTTTAATTTGGATTCTAACACTGAGCAAGTGATTGAATTCATGGGTTTAATAGACACCTTTTATTAAAAGCCAGGATGAATAGTTTATTTAGCAGTAAAGATATATTGAAAATGTACACTGCTCAAAAAAACAAAGGGAACACAAAAATAAGACATCCTAGATCTGAATGAATGAAATATTCTAATTAAATACTTTGTTCATTACATGGTTGAATGTGCTGACAACAAAATCACACAAAAATTATCAGTTGAAATCAAATTTAGCAACCCATGGAGGTCTGGATTTGGAGTTACACTCAAAATTAAAGTGGATAAAAACACTACAGGCTGATCCAACTTTGATGTAATGTCCTTAAAACAAGTCAAAATGAGGATCAGTAGTGTGTGTGGCTTCCACGTGCCTGTATGACCCTACAGTGCCTGGGCATGCTCCTGATGAGGTGGTGGGTGGTCTCCTGAGGGATCTCCTCCCACACCTGGACTAAAGCATCCCCCAACTCCTGGACAGTCTGTTGTTGCAATGTGATGTTGGTGGATGGAGCAAGACATGATGTCCCAGATGTACTCAATTGGATTCAGGTCTGGGGAACAGGCGGTCCATAGCATCAATGCCTTCATCTTGCAGGAACTGCTGACACACTCCAGCCACATGAGGTCTAGCATTGTCTTGCATTAGGAGGAACCCATGGCCAACAGCACCAGCATATGCTTTCACAAGGGGTCTGAGGATCTCATCTCGGTACCTAATGGCAGTCAGGCTACCTTTGGCGAGCACATGGAAGGCTGTGCGGCCCCCTAAAGAAATGCCACCCCACACCGTTACTGACCCACTGCCAAACCGGTCATGCTGGAGGATGTTGCAGGCAGCAGAACATTCTCCACGGCGTCTCCAGATCCCGTCACATCTGTCACATGTGCTCAGTGTGAACCTTCTTTCATCTGTGAAGAGCACAGGGTGCCAGTGGCGAATTTGCCAATCTTGGTGTTCTCTGGCAAATTCCAAACGTCCTGCACAGTGTTGGGATGTAAGCACAACCCCCACCTGTGGATGTCGGGCCCTCATACCACCCTCATGGAGTCTGTTTCTGACCGTTTGAGCAACCCCATGCACATTTGTGGCCTGCTGGAGGTCATTTTGCAGGGTTCTGGAAGTGCTCCTCCTGTCTCTCCTTGCACAAAGGCGGAGGTAGCAGTCCTGATGCTGGGTTGTTGCCCTCCTATGGCCTCCTCCCCGTCTCCTGATGTACTGGTCTGTCTCCTGGTAGCGCCTCCATGCTCTGGACACTACGCTGACAGACACAGCAAACCTTCTTGCCACAGCTCGCATTGATGTGCCATCCTGGATGAGCTGCACTACCTGAGCCACTTGTGTGGTTTGTAGACTCCGTCTCATGCTACCACTAGAGTGAAAGCACCGCCAGCATTCAAAAGTGACCAAATCATCAGCCAGAAAGCATAGGAACTGAGAAGTAGTCTGTGGTCATCACCTCCTGTCTTGAAGTTTCTTTTGAAACTGGAACTCTACTTATTTTATGATTAATGCAATAGAAAATAAATCTCACCTTGCTCTTTATTTTGAAGATACACAATTTGAAGTAGTGTATCAAAATAATCTAAAAGCTCTGTTTAATCATAGATATCTTCAATGAACCAAGTGAATAAATGACAATACGTACATCATGATGTCCATGAGAAAATGCATTGGATCTTATAACAAATCTCATTTATATAATATGGCGTGTATTTCATTTTGACATAATTGTGGCTTATTATATAGTTGCCTTTGGCTTAAATTGTTTGTTGTAAAGGAGTCTTCTTTGTGCTGCAGGTATAATTAGAAATTCAGTCATGTGTAATTTCAGCATCTTCATTGTCAACTTTCATTTCAACCCCAGAGGAATCACAACATTATTATTTAAGTGCTTATGGGAATAAATATAATTAGAGCTTTGGGATTACTTTTATTATCCTATCTGGAGAATAACTAAATTTATAATACTCCTTTATTTTGTGGAAAGTAATAGGCATCATGCACTTCCTTTAAAAACAGTCTAGGACCTCATTTTACCGGCCTCAGAAGGATGGAAGGCTGAGTGAACCTTGACCTGTCAGGATCAAACTCATCACTGTGGTCAAAGTTAGCCTGCAGTACTGTATTGTAAACACTGGACCACCAGGGCTCCCAGTTGAGCTTTCTCTGGGAGAAGAGTGGATTTTTCAATTCACCAATCACCCTCCATTGCTCCAGATGGTCAGTGTTTTTCAGAAAGGAGTAAGGGGTAAAAAATACTTACCCTTTTCATAGCTGATACATATTTTTACATACCATATATGTTAAAGACAGGCTTTGCTGTCTTTAATAATTTCTTTCATAGTATTACATTGAATATATCCAAAATACATAAATAATATCAGTGATGTGTAGAACACACATTGCAATCCAGCTGTGTTCAATACATGTGCCAAGCCCTTATTTACAGGGTCAGTGCAACATCATTTATTCACTTGAGAACATGGCATTTACAATGCTAAATAGATAAATTAATGTTCTACAAAATAGACCGGTCATTCTAATTCTTTTTTTCTAGAAGGATAGGAAAGGAGATTCAACTGTATACCTTGCCATTCTGCTAATATATGCTGGCAGAAATTACCGTTTTGCAATATAGCAGAGCTAGGTGATTCTTTTCAATTATTCAGATATATATTGTTTCCAAATTAGGCTTGTATATGGTTGTTTGGCTCACCCATTGCTTTATACCGCCACAAGGTCCAATTGATTTTGTATTAAGGTAATAAATTGTGATTTATTCAGAAAACCAAGTCTAAACAAACTTGGTGTGATGTGATATGTAAACTCTGTCTGCAGAATATTTTTTAGTATGCCACACCTAACCCTAACGCTAGGAACTCTTGATTTGGGAATCGTAAGTTCTAATTTCATGCCTTTCTTTGCTACATATATCCAAGACTGTGATCAAGCTTTTATTAAAAGAGTATTTTCAGAAAAGCAGGGCATGTAACCATGTGCAGCTTGTCATGACAAAGTTTTGAAAAGTGTAGTATCCAATATTATACATGGGAGGTTATTAAACAGATTCTAATGAGGAAAAAATTATTCTGATGACTTTTGAAATATAACAGTAATTCTGCTATAAATACTGATGGTTTATATTCTAGATCAAAGTACTTCAGGACATGCTCAACAGGAGAACATTTCACTATAGAGGTAAGTAATATATTTTAATTACCAGTGTAGTCGTATTATGAAACTAGCACAATGTTTTTCTTATTGCAGATTTGCTGGCTGAAACATGCAATAAATAAATAACTTTGAGCAGTTACTAATTTCAATCACATCAATTTTGAACAATCTGTTCTTAATAATGACAACCTACTGTGTTTCTCACAAAATAAGACCGGGCCTTATTTTTTTTTGAAGGGTGACTTAATTTCCTTCCCCCACGCACACCCCCACCTAGAATGCCACACGCATTCACCTTGCTACAAGGCTGCTAGAAGCACCCTGAGGGCAGAGTCACCAGCCGCTTCTATTGGCCGATAGAAGCAGCCTCGTGGAGCGCCCTGCAGGCAGCCACGCCTCACCACAAGGCTGCTTCTATCAGCCGATAGAAGCGTAGAAGCGGCCTCGTGGCGAGGCATGGCTACACATCAGGTTGCCAACTGTAAACTCAGTCGTGTACGATTGAGTTGTCAGAGTAAATATCAAATCTCAAGATTCCTGCTGCATTTGTGCTTCCTGAGCCAGCCGCTCTTCTTCGTCCTCTCAGATAGCCCTATTTCCCCCGCCCCGATTTCTAATAAGAGCGCCCCACGGGCAGCCACTCCTCGCCATAAGGCCGCTTCTATCGGCCGATAGAAGCGGCTGGTGACTCTGCCCTCGGGGAGCTTCCATCGGCCAATAGAAGCGGCCTCATCGCAAGGCAATTCTGCCCGCGGGGTGCTTCTATCGACCAATAGAGGCGAGTCTGTCCGTGGGGTGCTCTAGCCAAGGCTACCTGCACGGGGCTCCTAAAGGCAAGTTTCCCCCCCCCCCCACCCTTCCCCCCCATTTCTCTTCATCTCGTATAGTTCAAGCGATGTGAGAAATGGTGGGAAATGCATGGTTTAAATAGGCCTAAATTTGGGGAGAGGGGCTTCATTTCACCTTATGCCTAGAAAACATGCTGGGCCATCCTATTGAGGGGGGGGGCATATTGCCAGAGAAACATGGTAATTAAACCACTATATGCAATGTTTTATGTTTATTAAAATGCAAAGAACACATAAAATACTGTAACCTTGGGATAAAGCAAATGTAATAACATTCATGCAGTTATGAGCTGTGTATGTTCCTTTATGTGACTGGGTAAAAAGGATGGAAGGTGGTGACAAATTACCACCTTCTTTAAGCTCTCTGGTTCCTTAATATTTGTATCCTACTTTTGCTGGTTTTGGTTCCCTTTCCTGACATAAACAGCATTTTCCTAGGATTGCCCTAAGAATATAATTTCCCAAAGCTGCAAAAGTCAAACATTAGAAAAATTATAAATGGCAGAAGAAAAACTGTGGCTTCCAGTTACCAGAAGACTTTCAAACATCAAATGATCAGTGAAATATTGCATGTATGTGATTGCAAATGGCTACTAAGCAGACAAAACTCTTCTCTCACCAATATTTTTGCTTTTCCTAGAAATTAATTTGCTTCAGAAATGAGAGAATATCCCAAAGAATATTAAAAGAATACTGCTTAAAATAATTCAGATGAAAGTTAATTTGTTTGATGACCATCTAGTTTTTGTTAATTGCAGTGTTAGCCCACTTAATCTTCATTAAGAACATTAATGATTTGACAGGTGTACACATGAATCTTACTAAATTGAAAACAATTTATTTTAATATAGAAAAAAATTATAAATACATTACAGAGCTTATCAGGCACAAAATTAACATAAAATACCTCAGTTATTTGAAGGTAATCATGTCTAAAATGTTAAAGGTGCGCTTAAAAATTTACACCTATTGGATATATTAAGAACGTTATTCAAAGGTTAATTCATGGAAATCATTAAATCTATCTTGTTTAGGGAAGTTAATCAAACTCTAGCATGTTTATTTTTTTATTTCTGCTTGTATTTCTGTTTATTTTATTTCAGTGTCTTCATCTGGCTATTTATAAAGTAGTTATATGACAGAAGATTAACTATAGACATGGGGAGAAAGGCATGAGTTGAGACTAAAATTAGGTACAGCAACGCAAATAAAGAAGGAATAAAATATTCACAATTTATGTGATTGAATATATTTATAACATCAGAATATTTTCTAGATTTAAATTTGATTTAAATATTATATTCTATTATTGTTTTAAAGCTGTTCAAAAAAGGTAAACTTCAAACTCTTTTGTGTATCATAATATTTCATCCCCAAACTGATCAGAAAAAAAAGACTTGAATATCTAATATTTATGAGATTTGATCAAAATATCTACAGGTAGTTTATAGGATTTGAAGACAGTTTAAAATATTTAAATCAAGTGCCTAAACTGTTTTTGGACTTCTCCAAAAATGGGCAAAACCAAATTTAAACAAATACCAGCTAAAATTAGGAGACATTAATTGCAGTTGCTACATAGATACCGGTAGTCTCTAACATTAAGAAAGTTGTGTTCAGTAAAACCAGAGATAAGCCCAAGGTTTTGGCAAAGAAAGCTGTACCTAAATTAGATCATATGTACATATAATATGTGGTGGTCTTATATAAAAATTCAAAGGTTTTGGCAAATAGTTTGTATTCAAATAAGGAAAATAAATAAACAAAAAATTGTCCTAGATCCTAGGTTAGACTTATTATCTTTATTTAATGAAGCAAATGAAAACTGTGATATAATTTTATTATCTGTACACAAAGTGGAATAAATTTATATACTCCCAATACAAATGCTAATGCATGGTCAGAAATTTATTAATTTAAAAATCAAACTGAGCAATATATTTTTTTCCATTATTGTTTTCTACTATATCTAAGTAATATATATATATAT